ACATAATTATAATGTCTGTGTTGTGTTCCAGGGTGGTGATGACCTGGACCCCAACTATGTGCTCTCCAGCCGTGTCCGTACTGGCCGCAGCATCAAGGGATTCACCCTGCCCCCCCACAACAGCCGTGGAGAGCGCAGAGCCATCCAGAATCTGTCCATCGAGGGTAAACGCTAAATGTCAAACCTATAAGAATAACCCACATGTTTATAAAACTCATTTTATTCACAGACTGACATCTTTGTGCCGCACACCTTCCTTCCTCAGCACTGTCCAGCCTGGAGGGTGAGTTCAAGGGAAAGTACTACCCCCTGGATGGCATGACTGATGCCGAGCAGGAGCAGCTGATCGCTGATCACTTCCTGTTTGACAAGCCTGTGTCCCCCCTGCTGACCTGTGCCGGTATGGCCCGCGACTGGCCTGACGCCAGAGGCATCTGGTGAGAAACAGAAATGGGAAATCAACCAATAAATCTGAAGACAATTCTATTTTTTTCCTCCTCTTTAAAAAGCAGGGTGATCAGATACGTGCTGTAATCAGCCGAGACAGCAGCTTTTCTCAGTTTATGAAAACACAAACACATTAGAAACATCTGAGAGAAATTCTCCCATCTGCCCTTCCTCAGCAAATCTTTGACATCATTACCATCTGTCTGCATAATATGAAGAAAACACCAATTATTTCTTCTTTTAAACATCTCTTAAAGCGTCTCATGTTTGCTGAAGCTGCAGTTTAAACTTACATCCTTTAAAGAATTTTTAAAGGATGTAAGTCATTTGACTATATCCACAGAGATCTTCAAGATCAACTTAACAATTTATTGGTTGAATATAGAGAGAAAGCCTGCAAGTGTGGCACAAATTTCTTTAAGAAGTGCTGCTTGTTGCCTGTAAATCAAATAAAACTGAGCTGGGTTTTATTCCTCTAGGCACAACGACAACAAGACCTTCCTGGTCTGGGTGAACGAGGAGGATCACCTGCGTGTCATCTCCATGCAGAAGGGAGGCAACATGAAGGAGGTCTTCAGACGCTTCTGTGTCGGCCTGCAGAAGGTAATACTCACAAAGAGGACTTTCTATGGTTTCCTTTTTTGGACTCGCTGGGCTCTTAAACAACCGTAGGATGAATAATTTCTTACTCTTCACCGTTCAGATTGAGGAGATCTTCAAGAAGCACAACCACGGCTTCATGTGGAACGAGCATCTGGGCTACATCCTGACCTGCCCCTCTAACCTGGGAACCGGCCTGCGTGGTGGCGTGCACGTCAAGCTGCCCAAGCTCAGCACACACGCCAAGTTTGAGGAGATCCTGACCAGGCTGCGTCTGCAGAAGCGTGGCACAGGTGCGGAAAAATGCTTTTGAAGCTATAAACAGACATATTAAGCATTTAGTGTACAAACAACCACCTCAGTGTCACTTTTTTGGGACGGA